TTTTGCATTTTTTGGCCAGGGCTGGGTTTGAACCCACCACCTCCAGCATATGGGGCCAGCACCTTACTCCTTTGAGCCACAGGCGCCGCCCTCACACCATATCAAAGAACCAACAAATGGGGTGTCAATGAAGTGGACAATTTTTAGAAACACAATCTACCAAGACTGATTCATGAAGAAATAGAATATCCGAGCAGACCTACAACTATTAAAAGAGATTGATGCAATGATCAAAATACACCCAACAAATGAAAAACCCCAAGATGCAATGCCTTCACTGCTAAAATCTACCAAACATTTAAGGAAGAATACCAATTCATTCTATGAGGCCAAAATTAAGCTAACAGCAAAGAAAAAGACACAAGAGGCCAGGAGCGGTGACTCACACCTCTAATCCTGGCACTCTTGGAGGCTGAGGTGGGTGGATTCCTTGAGACCAGCCTGAGCAAGAGTAAGACCCCATCTCCACTAAAAATAGAAAAACTAGCTGGGCATAGTGGCACATGTCTGTAGTCCCCACTATTGGGGACTGAGGCAAGAGGATTGCTTGAGTTCAAGAGTTTGAGGCTGCTAGGAGCTATGATGCCCCAGGCACTCTACCCAGGGTAACAGAGTGAGACTCTGTCTCAAAACACACACACACACACACACGGAAAAAAAAATACAGACAGGCTTGGCACCTGTGGCTCAAGTGGCTAGGGCGCCAGCCACATACACCTAAGGTGGCAGGTTCGAATCCAGCCTGGGCCCGCCAAACAATGATGGCTGCAACCAAAAAATAGCCAGGCATTGTGGCGAGTGCCTGTGGTCCCACTACTTGGAAGTCTGAGGCAAGCGACTCGCCTGAGCCCAGGAGTTGGAGGTTGCTGTGAGCTGTGATGCCAGAGCACTCTACCCAGGGGGACAGCTTGAGGCTCTGTCTCAAAAAAAAAAAAAAATACAGACAAATGGCCCTTATCAATGCTGATGTAAATTTCTCAAATAAGTACTCAATGGTACAGTAATCAAAACAGTTTGGTACTGTCATAAAGGCAGAGATATAGACCATTCAAATAGAGAGCCCAGAGAGATACCCACACCTACATGGCAAAATCATTTTTTAATATACTACCCAGATTAGTCAATGGGAAAAAAAATGACACTTTTCCAAAAGTGCTACTGGGATAACTCAATGTCCACATATTAAAAAATGAAGTTGGAAGGCAAAGCATGGTGGCTCACACCTGTGATCCTATAACTGTGGGAGGTTCATGCAGAAGAATCACTTGGTCTGAAACTCCAGGCCTCAAGAAATCCTCCCAATTCAACCTTTCAAAGTGCTGGATTACAGGTGTGAGCTGCCACACTCAGCCCCGTTACATATTATTTTCTTCCTTTTCCCATTGCTTCACTTGGTAGCTATTTTTCTTTAAATGGGCAAAAGTTCTGCAAAGACACCTTACACAAGAAAAAATTTAGAAAAAAATATGGCAAGACGTTCAATATGATATGTCATCAGGGAATTACAAATTAAAACAATGACATACTACCATTTACCTACTAGAATGGGCAAAACCCAAAACACTGACACTACCAAATGCTGATAAAACTATGTAGCAACAGGAACTCTCATTCACAGTTTGGTGTGAATAAAGAACACTGTAGCCATTTAGGAAGACAGTCTAGCATGCTCTAGAAGATAAGCATGGTCTTATAAGATTCAGCAATCACACTTCTAGGTATTAACCCAAATGAGTTGAAAACTGATGTCTAGGCCTGGTGCCCATAGCACAGTAGTTGTGGTGCCAGCCACATACACTGAAGGTGGCGGGTTCTAACGTGGCCCGGACACTGCAACAAAAATAGTTAGGCGTTGTAGCAGGCACCTGTAGCCCCAGATGCTTGGGAGACAGAAGCAAGAGACTGGCTTGAGCCCAAGAGTTTGAGGTTGCCATGAGCTGTGACATCACGTCACACTACTGGAGGTGATGCAGTGAGACTCTGTCTCAAAGAAAAAAAAAACTGGTGTCTACACAGCTCTTCACAATAACATTTTTAGCAGCCTTATCCATCATTGCCAAAAACTAGAAACAAACAAAATGTACCTTTCAACAAACTGTGATACATCCATACAGTGGAATATTATTCAGTGATAAAAAGAAATTAGCTATTAAACCACAAAGACAGGGAAAGGCCTTAAATGTATAATGCTATGTGAAAGAAGCAAGTTGAGACAGCTCCTTATACTATGACCCCAAGCATAGAACACTCTGGAAAAGGCAAAACAGTATAGGTTGATTGCCAGGGAATGGGGTAGGGAGGCTACAGGAAGGGGAGGAGTGATGATTAAGTGGAACACAATGGGGTTTTAGGGATTTGAAACTCTTCTGTATAAAAAGACTGCAATGGTAGAAAGCAGCACCTGTAGCTCAAAGGAGAAGGGCACCGGCCCCACATGCCAGAGGCGGCAGGTTCAAACCCAGCCCTAGCCAAAAACTGCAAAAAAAAAAAAAAAGAAGAAGAAGAAGAGTTTGGGCAGTGCCTGTGGCTCAAAAGGGTAGGGCACTGGTCCCATATGCCAGAGGTGGCGGGTTCAAACCCAGCCCCAACCAAACAAACTGAAAAAAAAAAAAAAGTGCAATAGTGGATACACATTAATTTGTCAAAACTCATAGAACCTACCACATAGTGAACCTTAATACATCCATTCATCAATTTTCTTTTTTTTTTTTTTTTTGAGATGGAGCCTCAAGCTATCCCCCTGGGTAGAGTGCCATGGCATCACGCTCACAGCAACCTCCAACTCGTGGGCTCAAGTGAGTCTCCTGCCTCAGCCTCCCAAGTAGCTGGGACCACAGGCACCCGCAGCAACACGTGGCCATTTTTTGGTTGCAGCCATCATTGTTGTTTGGCGGGCCCGGGCTGGGGATTCAAACCTGCTATCCTAGGTGTATGTGGCTGGCGCCTTAGCCGCTTGAGCCACAGGTGCCGAGCCATTCATCAATTTTCATCATTATCAAATGTAATACACTGTTTTATCAATTATAACACATACTGGCTC